GCCCCCAGAAGAAAACCTAGGTTCTATGAGAGAACATTACAAAGGGACTAGGCCTGGTCCGAGGCATCCAAGAGGGCTTCCCCAAGGAAGTGACACCTGAGGACGGAGGAGAGGAGTGAAGCAGGCAAAGTGTTGGAGGGACGAGGCTATGGACACAGGCTCCATGGGGATGTTTGCCGAGGGAAGAGCAAAGAGGGTGGAGCTGGGTTTGTGTGTCGAGGAGCTTGGTTTTAATGGAAGGTACAGCTCAGGGCTTTGATGGGATCATGAGGTCTTCAGGGCAGAGAGAGACCTTGCCTTTACCATCTTTCTCCCCGGTAACTAGCACCTGCTAGGGGTCTGGTGTTTTGTGGCCTCCACCTGCACCTATCTCTGCCCAATCTGTCCTCCATCAGGGCCTGGTATGGGTTAGGGATGGAGCTCTGGGTGCTCGGTCTCCTTGCTTAGATACACTCTGAGTTACTCCACTCATTGGTTATTCAATAGCTGTTCTAGATTGCCCAATGCTGAATAGTGTAAAACCACCACCATTCGCTTTTGCCCTTGATTTTCTGGCGGAGGAATTCAGGAAATGTTCGGCGAGGTGGTTCTGCTAGCAGGGGTTTCTCATTTGGTTGTGTTCAGATGGACTGGCTGGGCGTGGCCAGCAGCTGATGTTCGGTCCTCCGGGAGGCCAGCTGGGCTGGGATCGGAGCACCAGACACCGCCTCCTCTGCAGGACAGGTCGGGGGTGGACTCCTATATGGCTGCTGGCTTCCCACCGAGCGCGTGTCCCAGATGATAAGGGGGAGGCTGCGCGGCCTTTTCTGACCAAGCCTCGGAGTCCCGGGGCAGCATTTCCACTGCACTCCGCTGGGGAAGTGGCATGAGCTCCCAAGTTCCAGGGCAGGGACACTGACCCGGCCTCTCAGTGGGAGGAGTGTCAAGACCTGTGTGACCTTCTTTTTCAAGCCCCCCTCACCGTGAGCAGGCACTGGGCTAGGCCTGCGGTGCCCCCATGCTCAGGGCAGAGGAGATCCGTCGGGAAACAAGCCAGGATTGCAGGGTGCTCCCACATCAACGGGGGTGGGAGGGGTGGCTGCTCCTGGCTGATTGATCCCAAGGGAGGCATCTCTTTCTCAACTTTGCGGCCTCCCTGCTGGGCCTTTACTCTCCAGGGGGCTCCCTGAGGCTGGAAAGGGGGACCCAGCCCATGGTGGGGGAAGGCCTCCTGCTGCCCCACCCCCAGGACAGGTTGTCCTCATGACAGTCTCCCAGCTGCTTCAGGGAGCCACGGAGAGAGGTAAAGACAAGAAGCGAAATGGTCACTGCAAGGAGATGACTCGTTGAGGGACGGGAGGCCGCTCAGCGTGTAGGGTGAGTCAGGCCGGAGGTGGTCAGCCAGGGGGTCAGTCTCAGTGTCCTCCTCCAAAATGGGCCGTATCCTAGTCTGTGGTGCTGCTATAGCAAAAGACCATAGAGTAGGCCAGCGGTCGCCAACCAGTGGTCCATGGACACTGGTGGTCTGTGAGGTCCGAAGGTTGGCGACTGCTGGACTAGGTGACTCACAAACATAAGGAATTTACCTCTGATAGTCCTGGAGGCTGAAGCCTGAGATCGGGGTGTCACATGGTCAGGGGTGGGCCCTCCCTGGGTCACAGACTTCCTACGGTGTCCTCACCTGGAAGGAAGGGGCAAGGGAGCTCTGTGGGGTCTTTATGAGGGCACTAATCCCAGTCAGGAGGGCTCCACCCTCATGACCTGATCACCCCCACAAGCCCCACCTGATGCCATCACATTGGGCGTTAGGATTCCAACCTGTGAATTTGGGGGCACACTCATGCAGACCACAGCCTTGCCTCACGTATGCACATGAGGACTAAACGAGACCAAGCTGTGCAAAACCACTTAGCATGATGTTATCGTAACAGTATGGTGGCTACTCTCTGTAGAGCCCTGGGAGCCCATCCTTAGGGCTGGGCTGGGCTGGGCTGGGAGCACCTTCCAGCCTAACACCAAGGCAGTGACGGAGCAACTAGATCCTTCTCCCCCTGCTTGTCGGCACCACCACCCATGGGCCCACCATTACAGTTCTGGGTTCAGCAGGCATCATGTTGAGAACGCAAATGCCTCAGGGATGTGTTTGCAGAGCAGGCTGACACCTGGGTGAGCCTTGGGAAGGGCTCTCAGACCCTCGGATGGTGGGGAGAGGGCTGGTAATGGGTGCCAGCACAGGGTGCCGAGGAAGGGCTCAAACCCCAACTCTGCCACTTACAGGCTGTGTGACCTCGGTAGGACATTCGGCCTCTCTGAGGTGTACCCAGGGTATGTCATGTGACCAGGCAGGGATCTATCACCAAGTACCTGTGAACAGAAATACAGTCCACCCCACACACCTAGTAAGCAGCTGAGCCAGGATTTGAACCCAGGCAGTCCTAGGTTCAAGCATTTCTTCATTAGCTCATGTTGTGAGTAGATAAGGGTCATAATGCCTCTGACCCTCCTCTTCCCCCCCAAAACAAACAAACAAACAAACAAACAAACAACACCTCAGGGGCAGTTCCAGCCTCAGGGACAGAGTAAGAGACAAAACTGAGGCATGTGAACTACAAGACACCAGAATGAGTCAAGTAGAGGCACCCTGTCACAGGGTAATCAGTGCCCTTGTAAACCTGACCATCACCCCCCCACACACACACACACACCATTGCTTTTTTTGGTTACTCCTCACCAGAGGATATTTTTCCATTGATTTTTAGAGAGTGGAAGGGAGAGGGAGAGACAGAGAGAGAAACATCGATGTGAGAGCTGCCCTTGCTTTGAGCTCTCACATTCCTCCCAGCCTGGAGCAGCCCAGGGGCCCTGGCAGCTCAGGGGAG